ACCAACAGTCTGGTTGTGTTCTTCTTCTTCTTCTTCTTCTTATTTTTTTGGTTTTTCGAGACAGTGTTTCTGGTCTCAAACTCACAGAGATCTGCCTGCCTCTGCCTCCCGAGTGCTGCTGGGATTAAAGGCGTGTGCCACCACTGCCTGGCTGTGTTCTTATTTTTAAAATGAACTCAGTACCACACTTGTAGACATTATGGCCCCATTGAAATTGTATGCATAAATACAAAACATTTTAAAATCAATAGCTTTTCTGATTACTAATAAGGAACTTGCCGAAAACAGAAAACAGAAAATTAGTCCTATTGAAAACAGCTTTAGAAACAAAAACTACAAACAACCAACGTCTACTGAAATACTTAGTAATGGTCTTAACCAAGATACTTAAAGAATTTTACACTGAAAAATTCAAATTCCTAAGTGCATTGAGGAAAACAGGAATATGATGAAAAAGCCTCCCATTCTCATGGATCACCACAGAAAAGCAATCTCCATCAAAATTGTGATACTTTTTTTTCTTTTTTACAGAAACATAAAAGATAACCTTGTAATTCATATAGAAACAATTTCCTCAGTAGTCTAGGCAAACATGAGCAAAAAGAACAGTGCTGGAAGTTACTACACCATCTATTTCAAGTTGACTGCAGAACCATATTGGCAAACTGAGCATGGTACCGGTTCAAAGACAGACATGGAGATTAGTGGGATACAAGAGAGGACCAAGTTCCAAACCCATGCACCTATAACCACCTGATTTTTATTTAATTATTTCTTTTTACTAAAATACCAAAAGCATTTTTTTTTTCAAAAAAAAAAAGTGGTATTGGGAAAACTGGGTAGCCATTTGCACAAGAACAATGCTAGATTACCCAAGCCCCCTGAAAATGCTTGATAACCCATCTCTTGCACAATAGTCAGTTCTCAATGCATTAAAGTTCTTCATGTAAGACCTGAGGTTTGGAAAGGATTAGTGGAAAAAAAAAAACGCTTGAAGATACAGGCATGGAAAAGGTCATTCTGAAACAGACTCCAATAAGTCAGGTAATAATTGTCAAGAACTAACAAATGGGACTGCATGATGTTAAAAAACATTTTTAAACAACAAAATACCCAAGTGAAGAGACAGACTACAAAATGAGATAAAATCTGGTAGCTATACATATGACAGAGAATATCTAAAATATATTTTAAAAGCCTCAAAAACTATTAATCAAAACAGATAACCCAATCAATAATGAGCTAATAAAATGAAGAGACAATCTTCAAAAAATGAAGTGGAAATAGCCAATCAACATGATAAATTGTTTAACATCTTTAGCCACTAGGGAAACAGAAATTAAAACTTCATTGAGTTCCCATCTCACCCCAGTTAGGATGGTTATCATTAAGAAAACCAACAAACAAAAAACAAATATTGGCAAGGGTGTGGGACCATTTTTATACTGCTGATAGGAATGTAGATTGGACTAGCAGCTATTCAAATCATAATGGAAGTCTCTTCAAAGAGCTAGAAATAGGACTATAACATGATCCAGCTATCCTATTTATCCTAAAGCACCCTGAGGCAACCTACTACATTCATGTGTGTTGCATCACAGTTCACAATAGCCAAGTTAATGGAATAAGCCTCTGCATCTGGCAAGAGCTGCATGTATAAAGAACGGTGTATATACACAATACAGTTATATTCCGGTATGGAAGAATAAATTCATTTGCTGGGGAAATGTATGCAAGTGGGGATGGCTATATTGACATAAGTCTAATACATGAAGACAAATATTGTATTTTTTCTTAATTGTGATCCCATATTTATACATGCATAAAACTCTGTATATGCTCTTATGTCACATATGCATATGTGTATAAACAAGTTTGGCCTGAAAATAAAAGGGAGACTAGAAGAAGGGAGAAGAGTAGTATGCAGGGGGAGGGGTTTCAGGAGTGGAGAAGAAGAGCAGGTATGATCAAAGTTTATTATATGCTTGAAAGAAATTATCCATAAGAAATCTAACACTATGTACAATGAATATATATCAATAAAATATAATTGTATATATCCTACAAACATACTATTTAAAGTATCTGAGTATGTCAAGATAAAAGATCCATACTTAAGGGATTTTCCTTTCATAAGAGATGCTCTTGGATTAAAGGGAACATGAGTAATGACTGTCTCCTGGGTCATCTATGTTCCATGAAGCATCGAGTCTGAGATTATCCCCTTACTATAAATAGATGCATGTGCAGTAGCTATGCGAGAATTGGACAAACAGGAGCCAGCACGTCACATATAGGCCACTACTTTTCCTTTAACATCAGTAACAGTGTGTATTCACAATAGAATGTTCTAAAAGATCACATGAAATAAAACATGCATTGTTTTCTTGTTCCTCTTTTATGCCATCCCTTGTGAGCCCAGATCACATCCTTCCAAAGACTCCTGGAGCTACGGACTGGGTTTCTTTTTTAATTAGCTATTTCTATTATTTTGTGTGAGTGTTTTGCCTGCACGCATGTCTATGCACCATGTGCATGCCTGGAGCTCATGGAGGCCAGAAGAGGGCATTGGATCCCTGAATCTGGAGTTACAGATAGTGATGAGCAGATGTGGGTGCTAGGATTCAAAACTGTGTCTTCTGCCAGAGCAGCTCTAACCTGAATAACATCTCCTGCCCTCTGTTTCTTCTAGAAGACTATTTTCTGTAATTGTATTATCCCAAAAATTGCATTTTCTTTGTCTGTTTCCAAAGAAACATGTTACAGCTACGACAAAAGTAGGTCATTCTGCATGAAAGGAAGGTCTACTTACAAATACTTACCTCTAGCAAATACTTGAGGCCCCACTCTGGTTGAGGTGCTTTATGGAATTGAACTCACATGTTTATAAAATAAAATAAGAAGCAACATACAGGTAAGAGGTAAATATTTAATATATAAATCTATAATCATGTAGAACATACTGTAAAAACTACAAACATTGTGAGAGATCACAGCCCGCTAATATAGGCAGGTCTATATTATATTACATGTGAAACACTTGGAGGTTGGCAGGAAAGCTGAGGTTATGAGAACCATTGTATGCAAAGCAGGTGCAAACACTGCTGAACTGAATGAAATACAACTAGGAAACAAATGTCTAGAATAACCTTCTGCCAGTTGAACCAAAGAAATGTAGTGGGAAGCACAGAAACACTTCCACAATATCAGTGACATAGCAAAGAGCTTTGTAGTTCTTTTGTTGGTTTGTTTTTCTTGGCTTGTTTATTGACGGGGAGGGTGTTGGGGAATGAATGCAGTGTCTCATATATGCTAGGCAGTACTCTGTCACTAAGCTACAGCCAGAGGCCTTACATTGTCGTCTAAATACATAAAAAGAGATTTGGCCTCACTCAAAATTGCAGAGGGGAGAGTATCTGCCTCCATCTTGATGCAGTGATCTGAGCTCAATTCTTATAATTCACAAGGTGGAAAAAGAGCACTGACTGACTCTTCCAAGTTGTCCTTCAACCTCCATAGGCACTCCTTGGCGTGCGCGTGCGCACACACACACACACACACACATACATGTAGAAGTCATTTTTTTGAAAGTTAAGACAAAAGCAAATAAAAATGCAAGGGTACTATTTCTTACAATTAGGTTGACAAAAATTTAATGACAAGGGTAACAAAGTAATAACAAAAATTGAAATCATAACATTAATACCTGCTTGTGTATTTTGTCATAAACAGTGAAAAGAGATATACAAAAGCAGTCTAGGGAGGTAGCTCACTTTTCTACTTAGCCATATTACACTTAATTGCCTTGTCAATCAGTTTATGGTATAGGTACTAGACATGTTAGTACCTCTAGCACCTGAAACTAGTTCCTCTAATCAAGATATCCCAGAAATATAATCTTATGAAAATGAAATTAAAATTTAAATGCTTGTAAGAATATACAAAAAAAATGTGATACAAAAAAAAATTACACTGAACATCCTATTAAGCCCTACCAAAAGTAATGCAGTCTTCCCAATATATTGCTTTAGTCTGGTTAATGAATCAACTTTTCTTGCGTAACAAAAACTATAAAATAATAGCATAAAAAGGTGGTTTACAGATTGCTGCCAGAAAGCACTAAGTTTATATTGAATTGATGTTAGTGGGGGAATGTCTCATATAGAAGGAATGCATTTTTGAAAGGTATCACCTTCTTAATTGAGCAAACACTTAAAACTTTTCACCAGTTTATATAAAGAAGTTATCTTTTTATTTTATTAGAAGGTCACTGTCATTAATTTGCAATTGATGGTTTTATAATAGGTCCTTCTGGTTCTTGATGGTTATTATCAACATATAAGGCAGTGACGATATGGCCTGTACAAAGGCAGGACAGGGGTCTTAATTAGAACTCTGACAAGCCCACTGCAATAAAATGATGAGATTATCCATAATTGATGTCACAATCCATTACCACTTAGTTCATCATGAGCGTTCTAATGGGTCTGGCCTTGGAACTGGCCTCGGGATGTTGCTGACTGGCTGCCCTGCTTATGCTGTTATTACAACAGGAGGGCACATTTTCAGTCAGCAGCCTAATGACCTCTTCTGAAGTCTATTAAATTAATGATGCTGCCACAGTGTTTTCATTTCTTACAACCTTAGTTTGAGGTCTCTACAAACTAATGTTTGGGAACCATTAATAAAGAGATTTTGTAAAATATGGAAACCTTTGATGGTTATTCAATAAGAAATGAACACAAATAGCAATTCTTGTGACACATATAAAGGAAGACTTTAGGATATATGCTCTACTTCCAAATGGAGTCTTTTTTACATAGTGTTTGGGTAGCCCAAGCTATCTTTGAAGTTATGACCCCTACTTTAGTCTCCTGAATGTGAGGGATACTAGGTTCACGCCACAGTGCTGGGCCTTTAAGGATATATTTTTAGTGGTAGGTCCTCTGTTGAGGTTTTCTTGTTTCTAAAAAGGGCCTGATTGTTTTTACTAATTCCAGGTGCCAACAGGTCATGTTTGGTTAGAAGGTGACAACTTACAGAATTCTACAGACTCCAGGTACTACGGACCTATTCCATATGGACTAATACGAGGACGGATCTTCCTTAAGGTATGCTTTAATGCCTAAAATGCCAGTTTTATTCTCTGGGTCAAGGGGTGGTTCTCTCAGATTGAACTTTGAAATCCATGGGCTGCTAAGTTGACTTAACTGGTGCAGTGACTACATTTGATGACCATTTTTTAAGAGCTATGGGCAAAATAGTATCCTCGCCCCTTCCTGCTCCTATGGGAAATAACAGAAGGTTTTAGAATAATATCCAAACTAAACTAGTGGTAGCCTGGGGAGCCTTTGAGTTTATAGAAATCAAATTCTGTCATGTGACTTTTACAGCCATAGTCAGATCTTGGCATTTCAACGAGTATTTCTACAACAGCAGCCCAGGCTTAGTCTACTTGGGATGCAAGTGGACTGCGTCAAATACAGCAAACCATAGGCAGGCATATAATGAATATACATGCCTTGGTTGACATTGCCCAATCTTCAGTGGTTCCTCCATTATTGACTGATGTAATTTTGTTTTGAGACAGAATCTTACTCTGTATTCCAGGCTGGCCTTAAACTCTCCACCCTGTCTCTGTCTCATAAGTGTTAGTGTCATGGGTGTGGATTACAGGTGTGTGTCACCACATCTGCTCCCCCTTTATCAAAAGGCAAGTATATAATGTTCAGAATTCTTTTTGGGGAGCGAGGGGAGGTTTGAAATGGGGTTTCTCTGTAACTTTGGAGCCTGTCCTGGAAACTAGCTCTTGTGGACCAGGCTGGCCTTGAACTCACAGAGATCCACCAGCCTCCGCCTCCCAAGTGCTGGGATTAAAGGTGTGCCACCACCACCGCCTGACTAGAATTCTTTTATACCTAAACAAATGCCACATTCAAACAGCTTTTTAAAGTATCAGGTACCATAGACTGGTAGTGTAACGTATTTGAGAATGGTAAAAGAAGACAGGACTTGACAAATCTATACGGATACACTAAACAAACATAGTTTCTGGTACTATGTTTGAATGTTCCAGGCTACATACAGAAGTTTATTTTCAGAGTAGCCTATGAAGAAAATGCACTGTATATCTCACAGAGAGAATAGGAAAAGAGAACATCAAGATGATAAACAAGTTTCATTAATTATCTTCCACTGTATTTTCATTTTACAGATTTGGCCTTTCAGTGATTTTGGATTTCTGCGTGACAGCCCAAATGGCCACAGATGTTCTGATGATTAGCAAGCATTTACTTTTTTGACTTGATTATTGTCTCCTATTCAAATGAATTTATTACTGCAGCTGAAACCATGAACTTACAAATAAACTATTTGCTACTCAGTTTTATTTCTGTTTTTAAGAGTAAACATCACATTCTGCAATATACAATAACTGAAAGTATTTGGATAAAAATCCCAAACAAGTTTTCCTTCTGGTTTTATGATATCAGAATATCTTGGATGAGAAATCTTAACCTCATATTTGAATTTTGGTGGCGCTTGTACAATGACAGCAATCTGTTCTCAAGTGTGCCTCATATGTCAGCTGTCTCCACCGGTCTGAGACTACGCATTCCCAGTCTGTGTTCTTCTGACAGCACCAAGAGTTAGACAGAAATCAAAGGTGCTCCACAGGGCCTCGGTGTTTGTCACATGCATTCTGATGTACACTGTAAACAACGTTATGTGAAAGAGGCCACCCAGGAATGACATCTAGAGTCTGTTGCAGTCAGTGAGCACTCACTGTAAAATCACCTTCTCCACACCACTGAGGAAAGGAATGGCTCCCTAGTCCTAAATGGAGGCAATTAAAAGTCCAATCTGAATGCCAAGTTTTTAAAGTTTTCTCTTCCTAATTTCCATCTGAAATTAAGATAAGCTGTTAACGAGCTTTAGACACCCAGGGCCAGGATTAGAGTCACGTTTTCTAACACTTGGTCTTCTTTACCAGCTTTCAAATAACATCTGAGTGGTCATAGCCAGTCTTGTTTAGGGCAGAGCACTTTGTTCACGAAATCCCAATCTATGTAAATGCCTGTGAGTGTGAAATAGATACACAATAGGCTACAACTTCAGTGACTCAGGGCACTGTCTTCTACATCAGCTTCCTAATTAGAGACAGCAAGATGGTCCAGCAGGTAAAGGCACTCACCACGAGGCTGAGGACCCAAATATGACTTCTGGGACCCACGTGGGGAAAGAAGAGAAAAATCAGCTCCTCACAGACTCACTTATTGTCCTGTGCTCTAGGCACACACACAGGCACACAAGCACATGCATTGTAAAGATTAAAACAAAAAACAAAACCCTTAGTAACTATAAAGAATAAACTGTAAAAAGTAAAAACATAAACTATATAAAAATAAATACTTTATTATTTTGTACCAAGGAGAAAACAAAAGGTAGATAAAAATCCAGAAATATAATCCAAGTCCTTTTTGTGATATCCTGTAAATATATATATGTATATATGTATATATATAAAATACTGAATTAATTTGTTAATCTAAAGTGGCCTTTGCTTGAAGATCTTATATTATCTTGGCAATTTATACATGTAGTAAGAAAGCACCTGTTTCCTTGAAGCCCGAGTGGCCTCTGGACCATGCTGACTTAATTAAAGGATTGTAGGAGTGCACAGTTCAGTGCTGATGAAGAAGTTCCACAATCAGTGAACACGTATCACAAGAAATTAAGTTCACTTCTTCCACTTCATCCTTGGAGACAGTGTATTTTCCCCCACATCGGCAGGTCAGAGAGAAAGACCCATCATCTGAAAAGAAAACAGGAATAATGCCTCAAATGTTTACAGTCATCTACTTTGCTAAAACCATTCAAAATATAGAACATGATCCAGAGAACTGTAAAATGAAACAAAGAAGCCAGGCACAGATAAAAATCAGTTTAAAAGAGAGCTGGAAAGATTCTCTCGCACAGGATCAGTCTTTCCATACTTATCTATTACTAAACAGTCTATCAGTTGTGGTGGTGGACTGGTTCACTGTATTCAGTATTCACGGGTGGGGATAGAGCAAAGGATGCTGAGAATAATCTTTGAAACTTTTAGTTTTCTTAAGAATTCTGCAGGCCGGGCGATGGTGGCGCACGCCTTTAATCCCAGCACTCGGGAGGCAGAGGCAGGCGGATCTCTGTGAGTTCGAGACCAGCCTGGTCTACAAAGCTAGTTCCAGGACAGGCTCCAAAGCCACAGAGAAACCCTGTCTCAAAAAAACCAAAAAAAAAAAAAAAAAAAAAAAAATTCTGCAAATTTTATATACTCAGCAATGCATTTAAGATGTTCCAGTGAGGATAAAAGGGGCACAGTACTTGAAGTCTCCTGGAGAAGAGGGCTACCTCAAGCTGTCCATGTCATTCTACAATCAGGTGACTCAAATACAATACTATATGAACTGTTTGATTTTTCCTATGAGTTATATAACTGTTTGCTTTGTAGTTAAAATTTAAGTACCATAGGAATATTACATACAAAAAGTACAACTGATAACGTGATTTTTAAATTTTACTTTGTACTTTTAAAGTGTATTACATTTGTGTTTGTGTGTATGTATACACGTATACATTCATATCCATATGACACGGTATGAGTATGAAGGTCAGAGAACAACTTGTGGGAGCCAGTTCTCCCCTTCCACCATGTGGGTTCGGGGACAACTCAGGTTGTCAGGCTTGACAACAAGTGCCGTTATTTGTTGAACCCTTTTGCCAGATACTTAAATTTTATTTGTAAAGCCAGTTATGCTATGTAGCATAGGATGGCCTTGAACCCTAGTGATCCTGACCCAGCCTCTGGGTGCCAGAATTGCAGGCAGTAGCTGCACACCTGCTGGTAGTGGTGGAGATGGGAAATTTAGATTCTACTGTCTGTCCTCTGAATGCAAACCTCGGAACCTAGTGCTGCTCTAGTTCACTCTCTCTGGGAAGTATCACAGTTCTCAGAACTCAGCAGGTCAGAATCGACTTCACTGCACCCACAACTTACAGAGACAAATGACGTTCAGTGGGCACAGGAGGCTACAGCTGACGCTCAAAGTCCACTACATTTAGAGCTCACTCTGCGGGAGGAGGGAGGGAGAGGCAAAAATAAGATTCAGCTGCCTTGTGCTTCCGCTGTAGAAAATGCAGTCTTGGAAAAATGGGCAATGAAGCTAACTTTATGAGCTGTCATATCCAAAAGGAAAACATAAATCTCTTCTCACTTTTTATCCTTTATCACAGTGTGTGTTTTCTCCATAAACAAAAAATAATTTCATTTCGAACTTAGAAATGCAAATATCAGCGGGCATGGTTGTACATGACTTTACTCCCAGCACTCTGGAGGCAGAGGCAGGTGGATCTCTGAGTTCAAGGCTTGGTTTACAAAGTGAGTGCCAGGACAGCCAAGGCTACACAAGGAAACCCTATCTCAGTAAACCAAAAGAAAAAAAAATGTAAATGTCTCCCCTGTTTAAACCAGCATATATATAGCATGTTTCAAAGTCATTATCTAAAATTGATTTTCTTTAAAATTTAGTTATTATTACTGATATTATTTATTGTGCATGTGCCATGCCATGTGCAGAGCTGAGAAGATAAAGTACATGTGTTGGCTCTTCCACCGTGCAGGGCTCAGATCTGTCAAGCCTTTTCTCTTTCCTTTTTGCTCTTGCTGTCTTCTTCCATTTATTTATTTAGTTGGTTGGTTGGTTGTTCATATATTTTTGGTTTGTTTGAGACAGGGTCTTACTGAATAGCCTTGAACTCTGCAATATTCCTGCCTTAGCCTCCTAAGTGTTGGGATGACAGGTTGTGGTGACCCAAGCTTTTAATCCTAGTACTTGGGAAACAGAGGCAGGTGGGTCTCAGTGAGTTTGAAGCCAGCCTGGTATACATAATGAGCTCCATGACAGCCAGATGTACATAGTGAGACCCTGTCTCAAAAAGTAAAGAAGCCACCATACCTGGCTTTGGTACTGGACTTTTCTTTCTTTCTTTCTTTCTTTCTTTCTTTCTTTCTTTCTTTCTTTCTTTCCTTCTTTCTCTCTCTCTCTCTCTCTCTCTCTCTCTCTTTCTTGGCATATATATTTATTGTATAAATATATATATTATATAACATAATCCATATAAAATTATATATATGCCATTAGGTATCCTAAAGTAAGTCCCCACAACACATACCTTTACTACCTTGATGTGGGAGTCCCCTCTGTGTGCTGCGATTAACATTATGAATAAAGAAACTGCTTTGGCCTGTTGATAGGACAGAACTTAGGTAGGCGGGGAATGGGGGGGTGGGGGACTAAATGGCATGCTTAGAAAAGAGGCAGAGTCAGGAACACCATGGAGCCACCAGAGACAGGTGCTGGGAATTTTACCTGGTAAGCCACTGCTACATGGTGATACACAGATTAATAAAAATGGGTTAAATTAATATAAGAGTTAGCCAATAAGAAGCTAGGACTAATGGGCCAAGCATTAATTTAATTAATATGGCTTCTGTATTATTTTGGGTGTAAGCTAGCCGGGCAGCCAGGAAGAACAAGCAGCCCTTCCCGCAACACTACCTCAATGAACACAAGCAATCTGAGATGACACATTTCATAAGTGGTACAGAAGGCACCATGGGCCACCTGGGAGTTCATCTTCACATCTTGCTGAAATTTCTTATCTTCACTGAAGTCTTAATGCAGTATTTTTATATAAACCATTTTGGATGTAGTCATCAAAATCACCATGCAAAGCTTAGCTCCAGTGTCCCAGTATTTCCAGAGACATGTTTTCAGCATAAGAAAATGCACTGTTGGGCCATGTCTCTCATGTGCACACTCATGACTTCTCCTTTGTTAGATCTTCACCACCCAAGGCCATTGTGAAAATGACCCTGAAGGATTAAAACTGCCCTCCTGATAGACCTTTATTAGCTTCATATGCTAATACTGCTTTTTTCTAACCATATAGTTAGTTTCAAACCTATATCAGTTTTTAATACTCCTGTCAGAATCCAGACTTCATACAGATATTGCTCATTTTTCTCAGGAGGGTAAGGATAATGTCCATCTTTATAACTTAATTTAAATGAGTACCAAAGATACTCTGTTTTAATCATCCCCTTTCTCCTCTTGGCAGTAATGGGGATTAATCAAGGGCCTCATGCATGTTAGGTAAGCACTGTAGCAATGTGCCATAGCCCCAGGCTGAGCTATCGAAGATTATGCATATAACTATGCTTCTTATTGATTCACTGTCCACGGCTAGGGTTCTGTGGATGTTTTTACTAGAAAGATGATTTTAGGAGAGGCTTTGGAAATAACTAAGTGGGTAGAGTGCTTACTGCATACCAGGAGG